GGGCTGGGAAGCCGGAGATAGCTGCAGAATCAGCGTGTGCTGGGAGTGTGTTGGAAATGAAGATTCATCCCAGCCCCACCGAACTGCAGTAAGATCCCTAGGTGATCTGCGGATACCTGCAGAAGAAAGTTGGAGAGGCACTGGCTTAGAGACTTTGTCCCCCAGCCTCACCACTTGCACTTTGTATGAGCTCAAGCTGCCGTAAAAAGTACCACAGACGGGGTGGCTTAAACAACAGAAATTTATTTTCTCACAGTTCTGGAGGCTGGAAGTCCGAGATCAAGGTGCCGGCAGGGTTGGCTTCTTCTGAGGCTTCTCCTCAGCTTGCAGAGGGCCACCTTCTTGCTGTGTCCTCACATGGTCATCCCTCTGTGCACGCACATCCCTGGTGTCTCCCTCTGTGTCCAAATTTCCTTTTCTCGTGAGGGACACCAGTTAGATTAGATTAACTGTCTTGTTTTGACTTAGTCACCTCTTTAAAGACTATCTCCAAGTACAGTTATATTCAGAAGTGCTGGAGTTAGGGCTTCAACATATGAATTTTGTGGGAGATGCAATTCAGAACAATGACATCACTTTAAAGAAGAAGCAACTAAGGTTCAGAGAAGTGTGTGACGGTCCACAATGACACTGCAGGCTGAGAGGTGAGAGCTTCATCTCCGACAAGCCCTCTGGAGTGGCAGGGAGGATAGTGTGAGAGACCAGGACACGGAGTCTGATGTCTCAGCTTTGCTCCCACTACTTCTGTGATCCTCGATAAATGCCTTAACATCCACAGACCTTAGTCTCCTTTTCTGTGAAATGGGGACAGTAAAAGGCCGTCCCTCACGCGGCCGTGAGGATTCAGTGAGATCTAGATGGGAAATGCAGATTACCATGCCAAGGCCGGTGGCCTGCTGACCCCGCTCTGACAGCCTGTGTGCTTTGCCTGCCATCAAAATCCTCTCTTATTTCCTGCTAGCCAGAATGCCTGATTATTTTCCCCAGGTGATTTGCAGTGTAATAGCTGGAAAAACCAAGGGTTTAAAATGGTCACAGTGGAATTTCAGGCATCGGCTGGCAGGGGCACAGGGCTGTTCTTGAAAGCCGAGTTCGTGACAGGCAGTAAGAGAAAAACCCGCTGACGGGCTCTTGCCCTTCCACCTGGCTGCCTGGGGGTTCTTGCTCCTAAATTATAGGCCACGCGCAATTTGATTTCGTTTCATTCTAAATTGCCCAGCCTGCAACCTGGGAGGAAATCAATTCTGCTGTGCAAATATACCAGCGCCTGCTAACTTTGGGCCGCTTACAAATGAGGCCCAGCTACGGAGTATTAAGGCAATGACCACAGTTTGCCTTTGGGGGTCAAACTAGGCACGAACGCAAAATTGTTTTCAAGTGTTTTGCTGTTCAGATTTATGTAGCATGCATCCTGTAAGGATCTATTCTATGCAAAGTGCTTTGCTAAGGCTGGAGCCGGACAATGGAGAGAACGTGTCTCCCTTCCTGTGCTTGGAGGGGCTCAGAGGCAGAATCACTCTTCTGAGACAGAGGGGCTCCCTTTCTTTTATCCATCCTTTATCCATCTGTCATTTTTTTTTTTTTTTTTTTGGAGAGGCTGCTTAAAATCCTACCCCCATGTCTGGCGTCAGGATAGCCGGTCAGAGGGAAGCAGGTTCTTTTAATCTGCGCCCAACCCTGGCCTTGGTGGTAAGGCATTCTCCCCAGGTCTGGGGCTAGATTCTTCAGTGTGGTCAAGTTGTCTAGTTTGTGGACTTCCCAGCTCCTCTGTTCCCCTCTGGCTTTTGACTCTATCAGCATCCTCTCTTGCCTCCCAGAATGCAGGGTCCAAAGAGAGAAGGACAGTAGTCATATCCTGAGTCATCGTGGACAAAATGTGGGAGACTCCCCCCTGCTCTGGGTCCTGTCCATCCGCCATCCAGCTGTGGCTGTCACTGCATCTGAGCTGTCCTGCAGCCCCGCCCTGCTTCCTCCCTGTGTGTCACCCTCACATGCCCAGGGCTCCGTAGGCCCCTTGTCGTAAGATCTCCTGCTATACGGGATCTGCTGAACTTATTCACGTGAAGCAGTGAATAATTAATAACAATTGCTCCTTTCTGGAGTCCTTGCATTTTAACAAGAGGCCAGTGCTTTAATAAAAAAAAAAAGAGGGCTTCCCTGGTGGTGCAGTGGTTGAGAATCCGCCTGCCAATGCAGGGGACACAGGTTCGAGCCCTGGTCCGGGAAGATCCCATATACTGCGGAGCAGCTAAGCCCGTGCGCCACAACTACTGAGCCTGCTCTCTAGAGCCTGCGAGCCACAACTACTGAAGCCCACTTGCCACAACTACTGAGTCCGCGCGCCTAGAGCCCATGCTCCGCAATGAGAAGCCACCACAATGAGAAGCCCGCGCACTGCAACGAAGAGTAGCCCCCGCTCACCAAAACTAGAGAAAGCCCACGCGCAGCAGCAAAGACCCAACACAGACAAAAATAAAATAAATAAATTTATTAAAAAAAATTTTTTTTTAAGGAAGAAAGCAATAAACATAACAGGTAGAATGATAGCCCTGTAGTTTCTGCTGGAGGGCCTTACGCGTGCCTGCCAAGCACGCGCCATCGTCCTCGCTTGAATCAAAGGCTGAAGGCCATGAGCCCGTTTGCCGCCTTGTCAGCAACCCTGGTGGGTGGGCAGCTGCAAGCCGACATGCCTGCTGCCCATTAGAGAAGCTTGTCCACTGAAAACCGGGGATGTCAGCAGAAATGCACAGTGAATCAAAAACTGGAACAAATCACTTTAATTAGCTAAAACCCAAACCTAATTCAAACAGTATTTCTTCACTGGACCATGAACCAACTTCATTCTCCCCCTGTCCCTAGTTGACTAGTTTCACCCAGAATTGAACCAAGATGGGAATGTGCTCACCGTCTGGTGAGCAAACGCCCCCCATTTCATAGGTGTGGACACTGAGCCCTGAGAGTTGTGGCCCAGCTCAAGGTCATAGGGCACCTAATGGGCCCAGATTTGACTCTTTACTCTGATATCCCCTTACTAATTTCTCCACTATTCCATGAGACCTGTTGACTCAGAACCTCAAGAGATAGTCCAAGTTATGCCATACATTGTGTATTCTTTTAAAAAAATTGTTTTAAATTTTTGGCTGCGTTTGGTCTTTGTTGCTGTGCACGGGCTTTCTCTAGTTGTGTTCAGCAGGGGCTACTCTTCCTTGCGGTGCACAGGCTTCTCATTGCAGTGGCTTGTCTTTGTTGCGGAGCACAGGCTCTAGGCGTGCAGGCTTCAGTAGTTGTGGCTTGCGGGCTCAGTAGTCGTGGCTCACGGGCTCTAGAGCGCAGGCTCAGTAGTTGTGGCGCACAGGCTTAGTTGCTCCGCGGCATGGGGGATCTTCCCAGACCAGGGCTCGAACCCGTGTCCCCTGCATTGGCAGGCAGATTCTTAACCACTGTGCCACCAGGGAAGTCCCTACATTGTCTATTCTTGTGGTTTTTGTTTTGTTTTTGATTATTTATTTATTATTTTTTAAACCATTTTTAAAAATTGAAGTATAGTTAATTTACAATGTTGCGTTAGTTTCAGGTGTACAGCAAAGTGATTCAGTTATTATCATATATATTCTTTTTCGGATTCTTTTCCATTATAGGTCATTACAAATATTGTGTATTTTTGAATCAAGATCCTCTCTTAAATTAAGAAGTTGGTAACCCAAATGGGAAATGGGTGGTTAGGTAGGAATTCTCCCAGCCTTCCATTCCTCCCACAGCCCTAGAAAATCAGAGGGAAACCTTTAAAATTGATTGTGATTCAATTTACATTACGATTACTAATATTGTCATTGTCATTATTTGCCTCAGTTAATCTACTTATTTTTACTTACCTCTCAAAGTTATAACAACATTCAGCTAAGTCAGTGGTTCTTAACTGGGGGAGATTTTGCCCCCAGGGACATTGGCAATTTCGGGAGACATTTTTGGTTGTCACATTACTGCTAAACAATGCCGAGGACAGCTCCACCCCCAGCACAAAGAATTGTCTGGCCCCAAATGTCAACAGGGTCGAGATTGAGAAACCCTGATCTGATCAACACAAAAGGGGGAGAAAATCTCCTGCAAATCCTGCTAGTTCAACAAATAAAACTCTTTCCTTTTCCGTGTTTCTCCCAGTCTCCACCCCACTATGTGTACTTAAAATTTCTATAGTTCTATCATCATGGCAGGAATACAGTTGACATCCCACTTTTTTTCACTTAATGTCGCATCCTGAGCTTTTGTCCCTCATGCCTCATCGTCTCCATAATTACCATTTTTAATGGATGTGATGCAGTCCTCCAAGCAGGTTGACACCCCCTATTTTACCTGACCCGTCCAAGTTCTCATCCGGGATGGTTACTGAGAGCCTTGCCAGGCGGGCTGCGTGGGGTGGGGAGCTTGCGTGGGCCTGCTGTGACGAGCCGTCTCCTCCACCTGCAGCGCAGGCTGATGCCATCATAGTTTTCATCGTCAACAGGCCTTTATGAAGCACCTTGGTGAATATATCCTGGCCCCGGCGGGGAGGGATCTTCCGCAGAGATCATCCCACCAGCCCCTGACATCCAAGGCTTGTTGGCTCGAACAGGCAGCATATATGTCAACCAACCACGAAGGCATCCGAAGACTGGGCTGTAGGCCCCCAGCAGAGGGTGCGAAAGCAGATTCTTAGGCAATATTCATGACAGGAGTAAGTGCATCTGGAATGCAAAGACAGGCTGGATTCCCACAGGGAGTCAGGGCCTTGAATCCTCTCCTCCCCCTGACTGCAGGCTTCTGGAAGGACATGGGAGTTTAGAAGCGATGGGAGGGAGGCAGGAGCAGCTTGACAGGGGAAGGACTCGGGGTCAAGTGTTCCAGGCTCCAGTGTACAAGTGCACAGCCTGGGAGAAAGCTAGAGACTACCGGAGACGTTCCTCCTGAGACCTTCCCGCCACCCTTTCGTCTCACCTCGGCGCCCCTTTCTCTTCCCCCTGCAGGTGTTCCACGAGCAGGGCATCCTCTTCGGCTACCGACATCCACAGAGTTCCGCCACGGCCTGTCTCCTCAGCCTTTTCCAAATGACCAATGAGACCCTCAACATCTGGACGCACTTGCTGCCCTTCTGGTACCTCCCAGCCCCCTGGACCAGCTGCTCACTCAGAGCCTGGGGACTGGGGCTTCTTTAAACACAGCTGGGGTGGAGAGAGCTGAGATTCCGTGATGGGATTTGGGGGACTCCCCCGTGGTGCTGGGAGGCGTGGCGGTCTGCTGCTGGGGTGAGCTCTAGGACCCAGATTGTGGTAGGATTGGAGGGGCTCCTGGAAGCTCCCCGGTCTTTCCCTGCTCCCCTGCTTCGGGTCCTGACTTGAGAGGATTGTCTTATTCGGTCTTGGAGGCTTTCTGGGTCTTTTGGAAGCCCTGGCTAAAATTCCCTAGCTTCGGCAAGTCACTTAACCTCTCTGGGCTTCGCATTTTCCCACACGCAGAGCAGGTTAGCCTGCGCCTTTCCTGGGGTTGCCCTGAGGATTAGGGGATGAGGCATTGGAAAAGGCGTCGGGTACAGAGCTGTGGGTGCCTGGGACCACAGCAGCTGTTAGGCATTTGGTCAGGCAGCACTGAAACGGAGAGAACTCTCCGGCACGTGCACACGCACAATGGGAGCTGCCAGGAAGGTGAGGAGGGACCTGGCTGAGAAAGGTGGGGACCGAAGACCAGCTGCACATACCTGGTGCCTGTGCGTAGCGAGTGAAGGGTGGAGATGGGGTCATAGTATACGAGAGCTGGAAGGACCCTGGGAGCCATGCGGGCCACCAGCCGACTCAGACCACCACTGGCTGACACAGATGCGGCCCAGAGAAAGGAGTGACTTGCTTACATCCCCTGGCAAGTTCTGGCACAGGTTGGTCTCTGGACTCCCCCTCCCAATCATATTGAGAAGCCGAGAGAGTAGGAAGGACCCCAGGGTGTGCTGCAGGCAGAGAGAGGAGCCCGAGGACGGGGTCCTGCCTGGCCAGCAGTTAGAGACAGACCCAGGGCAAAATGCAGGGGAAGGCTGCTTGGTGGCAGAAACGTCGCCAGTGGAGAAGAGGGAGAGCTCAGGCTTGGGGTGGGATAGGACCACCTGTAAAGAAGCCCTAGCGCCTGCAGACTGGTCGGGGTGGCAGCAAGATCTGCTCACGGAGGCTGCTCGTTGTTTTAAATTTAAGTCAACTGGACGCACTTGCTGCCCTTCTGGTACCTCCCAGAAGGGTAAAAAGTCTAAATGATAATAAATGATAACATTGCAGAAGGGAGTAGGGTCGGCGTCTTCCCCCGGCCCCTCTGCGTCCTCTCTGGAGCCGCCGGGGTGACCTGCTGCTCGTGCATCCTCCCAGAACGCTTTTCTAGAGACTCGAGCATCTGTGACATGTGTGTACACCCAGCACCTGGTTCTTTCCTCCCTTGCTTTTCCCTCAGAGATCTCTTGTCTGACATTCACAGAAGCCTCTCTGGCTTTTGAGCGGTGTCCCATTTTCTGGATGAACCACAGGTGACTTAGGCTGTTTTGAAGTTTGTGCCAGCCTGACCATCCCTGTTTGCGGGGCTTGAGTTGCTGTGCGCAGATCCCGTTGTAGCTGTTGTACAGCTGAGACGTGCTGGCAGGGACCGCCCCACTGGGCATGACGCCCCTGTACTGCCAGGCCCTGAGAGCGCAACACAGAGCAGCAAGGAGGGCTTGGGAGAGCCGGAGAAAGATGCCCCGGGGAAGCGGGACTCGGGCGTAATCTCGAGATGATAAAAGGGTACATTTTGAAAAACAGCAGATAGCTGAAGCTTGATTTCTGCTGGGACAGGAGGGAAGAGATCACAAATGTAGCCAGAGAAGTTAGCGATGTTCTTGGGGTTCCTGCGTGAAAAGCTTTCCGTCCCTTCCCTGGGAGAGTTTGTGGGCAAGGGGCCTGGCTCTCTAGTAGAGGTTTGTGGAAGCGGGCAGCTCTCTAAGCAAGAACCCCACGCATGGGTTGTAGGTTAGGCAGATCTGACACAGAACTGTGCAGTGTCTCCATGGAGAGAAGGGTCTGGAGGCCTAGGCTTAGCCGAGACTCAGCCGTGGGACCAGGCCCCTCAGAAAAGAGATGGTGAGATTAGTGGAGGAATAGCATGGAAGAGGGGGGAGAAAATCGTCCTGTTGTCTTCCAGCCTTTCCAGACCCCACAGAGGGGACTGCTTCTCTTTGAGGTGCCCTCCTGCAAGGGGAACTTGGACCAACCACAGGGATGACAAGGCCGAATTTGGATCCCATGAGGAATGGTTGAATGCACCGAGGTTTTTTCATGTGAAGCTCAGAGAGGTGTGAGGGATCATGAAGACAGCCTTGAGATATCTGATGGGTTTGTTTTCTGTTGCGCTGATGGGGAGACCTAGGGCTGATCCAATGGAGGGAGATTCCAGGGAGACAGATGGAGGCTCAATGAAACTTTGCAACCCTCAGAGCTGCCTCAAGAGAGGGTGAGCTCCCCGTCCCTGGAAGCATGCAAGCTGAAGCTGGAGAGTCACCTGGGCAAGATGCTGTAAAAGGGATCTGTCACCACACGCAGGGGGAGGGGACTGGACCATTGCCTATCCTGCCTATTTCCAACCAAAAAGGACCCCACTCACCCTTCCTCGCTCATGGCATGTCACCAAAGCGAGACCATGTAGGAGCCGGTCATCCAGGGAAAGGGAAGGCAGCTTAGGTTGGCTGAGGACTGTAAGAAGGGCCCCTGTCTCGGAGGTTGAGGGTGTCCCCCTGTGTTCCAGGTTCTTCATGTGGAGGTTTGTGAGCACCCTGCGTGTGACGGACGTCCTGAATGACAGCTACTCCTGGCCTCTGCTCGTGTACATGGGCGCCAGCTGTGTGTACCCCCTCGCATCCAGCTGTGCACACACCTTCAGCTCCATGTCCAGGAACGCCCGGCACATCTGCTACTTCCTGGACTACGGCGCCGTCAACCTCTTCAGCCTGGGTACGTCAGGCCCTGCTCTTGTCTCCTCTTCCCTGGGACTGAACCCCCTGCATCTTCCCCTGGGAGCTGGGGTCACTGTGAGGCTCTGGTGGGCTTCCGGAAGAGTCACCGCAATGCCAGTGCCCCTGCCCAGGTGCCTGATGACTGTTTTATAAGAAACTTGTCCAAAGGCCTTCTGGCAAATATTTAACAACTGGCTCTCTGTGGACAAAAGTCCCGGTCCGTGGTGTTGGCAGGTGTGCTGTGGTGTAAATACTCCTGCCACGGCCGGCTGCAGGCCGACAACATCACTGAGCACAGGGCTGGGGAGAGATGCATGGTAGGTCCCCATTACGTAGCAGTTCCTCTGTACAGATACAGCGGGTGCATTGACTGAACAGTTGTTGCTCTTGTTAATATGATGGATAGCATTGTAAGTTTATGTCATTCAATTTTTTTTTTATAAATTTTATATATGTATGTATGTATGTATGTATTGGCTGCGTCAGGTCTTCCTTGCTGTGTGCAGGCTTTCTCTACTTGCGGTGAGCGGGGGTTACTCTTCGTTGTGGTGCACTGGCTTCTCATTGCAGTGGCTTCTTTTGTAGCGGAGCATGCGCTCCAGGCGTGCGGGCTTCAGTAGTTGTGGCACGCGGGCTCAGTAGTTGTGGCCCGTGGGCTCTAGAGCGCAGGATCAGTAGTTGTGGTGCACGGGCTTAGTTGCTCTGCGGCGTGTGAGATCTTCCCGGACCAGGGCTCGAACCCGTGTCCCCTGCATTGGCAGGCGGGTTCTCAAGCGCTGCACCATCGGGGAAGCCCTGTCATTCAATTTTTAATGATGGCTGTGTTTAACAATTGGCTTGCGAGTTCTCTGACACTAACAATCTGCTGTCACAGGCCAGGGTGAGCCAACTCCACTCATCAGTGCCGGTCTCTGTTGTGCCCCGCAGAGAAGGGGGTGGTCACAGACCCCATCGGTCTGGAGGCTTTAAGGGGTTAGAGCTGCAGGGATAGAGTGAGGGGAGGTGGTGGGTTGACACCCTCTCCTCCTCTCTCCTCTCCTCTCCCCCAGTTGTGGGCATCCCAGCTCTAGCCGCTTCCTCCCACCTGGTCCTGCTCCAGGTGTGAAAGCAAAGTCACCGTCTTCCCTTTGCCCAAGAGGGTGTGTGAGGAACCTACCTCCAGCCTGTTCTCCCGCCCCTCTCCCTCTCTCTTCACTAGTAACACACACGTGCATACATACACACCAACACACATACATAGACAAACACAGACACACACGCACACACACACACGAGTCTCTACCTGCTCACCAGTCCTCCGTGCTCTGCTGCCCAGTCCCCACTCTTCACTAAAACTCTGGTTGTCGAGGCCCCAGCCTCCTCCTGCCTCACAGGTCCGCGCAGGCCCCGTGGGCTCTCTCTCCAGCCTTTGATGCAGGGGCACCCCCGTGCTCCTCAAACCTCGCCCGCTTCCTCTGGCCCCTGTTACATCACTCCCTCCTAGTTTTCCTCCCACCCATTCACACGCTCATCCTGCTTGGCCAGTTCCCCTTCCTCCGTCCCCCCATGGGTGCACAAGCTGGGAGTCCATTCTGGGGCGTCTGCTCTTCCATGGTCAGGCTCCCTGGGAGATCTCCTCTGCTCCCACACCATCCCCCAACACCTCTGGGGGACACCCCCAAACCCCATCTCTAGTAAACTGCTCACCCAAGCTCCACACTGCATCCAGCCCTGGAACAGAGACTGTCTACATCCTCCCCGCCCCCCCTTGCATGTACTCCCCTTCGAGTCAGAAATCTGTGAATAATCAAGTTCCCCCTGCCTCTCACCCCGCTTCACCATCCTGTCTAATCGGTTGGCAAACTCAGTTGAGTCTCTCCTGCATACTTTTCAAATCGGCCGTGCCCCCTTCGGCTTGACTCAGTCCCTCACGCCTCTCCCCTGGGCTTCACCCGGCTGCCCTGCGGGCTTTCCTCCAGGCCTTCTGACCATGGCACTCCTCCCACTTAAACTTTTCCAGGTTCCCAGTTACCTGGGATGAAGTCCAAACTCCTTAACCCGGCAGCTTCCATCGCCCTCGATCGCCTGCCCCAGACTCATTTATGATAAGGGCAAGCGTTTCGGAGGCATCACGGCAGGCTCCATGCCGAGCACCCGACCCACATCCCACATCACGAAGGGGTGGCCTAACGCGGGGCTTAGCGGCCTAACTGCACTCCCCCCAATACTTATATGCTCTTAGGCAAGATACAGTTGGCATAGTATGTTCCTCATGGGAGTGTTATAAAGATTAAATGGCTTTTGTAAGTGAAGTGTGTCCGACAGTGCCTGACACTTCGTAAGCAACAGAAGGTAGCGGTTACCACGATTACCTAGTTAACCCTGACAGCAGGTCCCTGAGGTGGGGACCATCATTATACCCATGCTACAGGTGAGAACGCTAAAGGGAAGTTACCCGGGTCACGCAGCTTGTAAATGACAGAGCCGGGGCCTGGGAGCCTCAGGGCCCCTGCCTGTGGCTTCCTCCAAGTCCCCGGGCCTGGATCCACCTCCGTGGAGCTCTGTCTGATTCCTTCATTTCTGCTCCGCACTGGGAACAACTCCCTGAGGACAGCCATGCGTCTTTCACATCTGGCTTTCCAGTCCGTAGCCCAGAGCCAGACATGGGGGTGTTCAGTAAACCTGGAAGGAAGGTCTGGTCAGTTGAGAGAGCCTGTGGGATCCACCTGGGACTCCCTGGTCTGCAGCCATCTCTCCTCCTCCCCGACCCTGTGGAAACCCTCAATCCCTGGAGGGTGGCGTTTGCTCAGCTTCCTCCCCGATGTCCAGCTGTTCCCCTCCCTCTTGGACCTCCCGCGCGCTTGCACTAGGCTTTGACCATCTTAATCCCCTGCTCAAAAACGTTCGGTGGGCCCCCTATTGCCTGAAAGGGGACGTTCACTTTCCTCAGTCTGGCATCCCAAGGTATCTCCTGGTCCCGCTCCCTGGAAAGCCGTCCCTGCCCTCAGGCACCCGTAAGAATCCCCCATCTTCCAAGGATGCTTCCAAGGTCAGCCGCTTGACTGCGTGCGTGCCCATCCTGGACGTCCATCTCACCCTGGAACCCGCCTGGAGGCACTCACCAGTGCCCTTTCCACTGCGCTTTTTGGCAGGGACTGAGTCTCCTTCGCTCTTATATCACCCGTGGAGCTTGGCCCCAGCCAATATACCCAGAGCAGATGCATCCCGGTCCCCATGGGAGCTTCCCCATGGTATCAGGCTGAGGCAAGAATCTGTCCCCCTGGAGGCAGTTCCAGCTGAAATCTCACAGGTAGCCTGCAGGAGTGGGGAGCGTTGTACCAGGAGTAGTGATTCTTGGCCCTTTCTGCCTGTATGACCCTGGACACATCCCTGGGCTTCACTAGATTTCACCAGTCACATGGGATCAAAGGCAGAGGTTGAACCTGCATGGCCTGAGGTTGAGGTCAGCCTTGAACTAGCATTCCAGGGTTCTTTGTTTTTGGATAACAGGTGTCCTTAGGCCTGATCTTAGGCTCTGGGCTGACAGGCCTGCAGCTGCCTCTCTCAAAAGGGACCTCAGCAGGTGAGGGTGTCTGGAGAGGTCATCTGGTCCAGGCTCCTGGACACATCCGTCCCCTTTGAAAAGGACAGTCATCTCCCCTGTTCTTTCAAACAAAAGCTGCAGCAGACAGGTCTCTAAAAGGTCCTTCAGTAACCCTTCTCTCACAGACTCCAAAACCTAAAACGAAACAAAATGCTGAGGCTAGCATCTCACGCCCAGCCTCTCAGCTGGCCAGTCCCCCAGCCCGCTGATATGACACAACTCGCCTCAGCAAAGGCCCTCCCTCCTCCCACCCTCCCCTCCCCTGCAGCCTTGATCGTTCCACAGGGGACACCCATATCATCAGGCAGGTGAGATGTGCACACTCAGAGCAAAGCTGAGCACACTGGGGTGTCATCGTGGACCATAGTTAAAAGCAGGGACTGTTGCTGAACTGCCTGCGTTTGAAGCTTGGCTTTGCTGCTTTCTAGCTGTGTGCCCCTGGGAGGCTTACTAAACCTCTCTGTGCCTCCATTTCCTCATCTGTAAAATGAGGATAAGTGCAGGATTGACGTCAGAGGGGGGTTGTAAAGTTTATGTGAGTTAATGCATGTCAAGCCCTTGGAGCAGTGCTGGACTCACAGAACATTCTCATGCTGGGGGGGTGATGCGTGATGGCATAAGCTAGGGGGGAGCGGCAGGACTGCTCATGGTCTGTGGGGATGATGGGGGGCTCAGCCAGATGTGTGGGGGGGGTTGGTCTTCCCAAGGAGTCCGGACAGTGCTGAGTCCTGGCTTATTGCCCAAGGCTGGTTTTTCTTCCCAGGCTCGGCCATTGCCTACTCTGCCTATGTGTTCCCGGACGCGCTGGTGAACACCGTCTTCCATGACTACTACGTGGCCCTGGCTGTGCTGAACACCATCATTAGCACCGGCCTCTCCTGCTATTCCAGGTACCCGGCTGCTCTGTCTCAGATGGGATGGGGTTGGGGGCGGCACAGAGCACGCAGCTCCCTGGACTGTTGGAGGGGACAGTGGAAAAGATGCTTGGGAACCTGGGACTCAGTTCCAGATGGACTTCCAGTGGCCGGGCAGGACCAGCTTCACAGGCACACGCCTGTGCAGGCGCTCAGGGCCCTGTGATCGACAAGGCTCGACACTTGGTTTAATTCCCTGCTGTTGTTGTTTCGAAACACTTAATGAGTTTTGAACAAGGGGGTCTCCCTACGTTCCTTCTGCCCTGGGCTCTACAAGTTATGTAGCTTGTCCTGTTGCTGAACAAGTCACTTACCCTCCTTGAACCTCAGTTTGCTCATCTATCAAATGGGGTCAAGGGAGTTCCCTGGCCGTCCAGTGGTTAGGACTTGGTGTTTTCACTGCTGTGGCCCAGGGTCAATCCCTGGTTGGGGAACTAAGATCCTGCAAGCTGCGTGGAGTGGCCAAAAAAAAAAAAGTGGGGTCAACACAGCTACCTTGTG